ATATTTACTTCTTTTTTTTTATCTCTAACAAAGTCGTAATCATGCTTCAAATATATATAATGTGTGTATATGTAACCCTTTGTTAAGTCCTAATGCTAAGCTAGGCTAACTGGCTGCTTGAGTATTGATGTTTTCTCCCAACTCACAGCAAGAAAGGGAGGAAATAGAATTTCCAAGCTCAGAACTCTCTGAAGAAAAGCATAATGACTTTAAGGATAGGATCATAAAAATAATAATAATAAAATAAAAACTCCCCTGGAGAGGGAGATCTTGTTGATACAAGTTTTAATGTATCCAACCTTGGAGATATTTTGGGGTCTAAATGAATCTTCTTTCCTAATCTCCTTCCCTGTGTTGTACTCTCAGGTCAAGAGCCCCCCCCCCTCCCCCCTCCATCACTCATTTCTCCCATGATCTCCCTTTGGAGGTTTCTTCCTAATTTAGTATGTTCCACCAAACATGATTTGCCCTCTGGTTTAAAGGAAAAAAACCTCCCTAAGCCTTCTCTTTGTCATAAAACAACGTGGCCCCCCGCGGGCGTGCGTTTCCATTCACCAACAGTCGTGTTCCCCATCTTGTAGGGAGTGATCAGGTCTCGGTACACGCTGAGAGGGATCCAACAGCAGCTCTTTATAAGGACACGGGCCTGCTGCCTCTATATTTAGATGGACTTTATTGAGCCTCTTGTCTTCGTCCCCCCCCCCCACCCTACCCCCCCTTCATGCAGCGCCGCTGTTGGAAATCTCTCACCAAAGCCATGTGGGCGGCCGGCCCACCTCTCCGTTGCGGCGAGGGGAGAGTGAGGCCTGATAATGATCTGGACTGGGTGATAATAACAGAGCTGAGGAAACGAAAGAGGGATGGGAAAAGGATGGAGGGATGGGGGGGGGGGGGGGGGTGACAGAGAAGCGGTGGGTGGTGAGAGAAGTGTTTTTCACCGCGTCTTCTCAACTTAACCGACTATTATCCACGGTGACGGTGCCGGGCTCTATCTGCCCCACCAACCGAAAGTTTAAGGGAAATCCGGTGAAGGAGGCTGTTTTCCCATCCGGCCCCTCGAGGTGCCAGAACCGGGTCTCTTTATCTCTCATTGCTTCAATTTATTTATTAATTTATTGAGAAGGGAGCCAGCGTTGTATGTGGAAACATGAATATATATATATATATATAATGAATATATCTATACAGTCCCCTTCCCCCTACATACCTCTGCTTTCTGGCCTTATCTCTAGAGAAGCATATTTCTCAAGAGCTTTGACCTCTGCAGTCCAAATGCACCGCTAATGGCAAAGAGTGCTTTAACATGGCGTACTCTTATCCACCTATCTGTTCCTTATCTCACTTATTGCCCGGCTGGTTCGAATAAAGTGTAGTCAAACAATGGACGGTGTCTCGCCAGCTCTCAGAAGGTGAAAAACACCGAAAGCTTTATAGATGTGTCGTCGTCATACCCCCCCCCTTGGTGCAAATATAAACTTGGATAACAACGTGCACCACCACGTTGTCATTTTTTTGTTATGTGGTTGTGGTCATTTCCTGTGTTGCTGTGAGATCAGCCTCAATTAGGCAAACTAAACAAACCGTAATGCTCACAATGGGAATGGCGATATGCTGACGAACCGTGGTCCCCGTCTTACATTAACGTGTCACTGGCTTTGGATAAATGAAAGTGTTTACAAGATGATGATGATGATGATGGCAGAAAGTCTGGGCATTACCAAACTCACTCAAGATATTCCCACAAAAAGTGAGAAAGAAATTTGAGCCTGTGGCGGAAGATGAAAAGTCTGAGGATCTCCAAAGTCACAACATTTCATGGCCAATCGGGATTTCCCAACTAGAAAGAAACCACAATGTGGGGAAAGTCTGGGCTTCAATCACATCGGTAGGCTTCACCCTTTTGATTCTGACTTCAAGTACCGATCGAACGACGGGCAAACCAACATTGCCATTGATATGCTAACGCTAATCAATAGCACGTCTATCGCTAACTGATGGACTCCACTTGTCTGACTGGGTTTGTTTGTGAGCTTGTCTGTGACTGGTGGTGCTTATCCTGTACCAACCACCCCGGGAGACATGGCCGGCTGGAAAGGAGACCAAAGGATCTTTATCTTCTCCTCCCAGAGGAGCAAAGCCCCGGCAGGTGGGGCCGAACCAGAGATTTGCATGTGAGCTGACAAGTTCAGCAGTGACTCAAGAAAAGCATAAACTGCCATGCAAATGAGAAGCAAATGAGATTCAAACCAGACCACGGCCGTGTTTTTATGTGTGTGAGGGAAACTATTCGCGACTAAGTAAGTCTTTTACCAAAAATATCTGTCAAGCCCTGAAGGCCCTGTGGACAAGGACAAGCCGGAAGAATAGTGGACGCCACGCTGGAGACAGCAGTTGTCTGTGCGGGCGTGGAGACGAGGCGTGGAGACGAGGCGTGGCCCAGCTCGGATCTCCTCAATGGAGCAGTCAGCCTCAGCAGCTGTCTCCACCTCTGGCTGTGTCTCCGTCACACACACATGCGTCAATCCAGCATGAAAGCTGACAAAGCAGTAGGACAAAGAATCAACCGATTCATGTTTAATCCCTTGACTTCTATGTACATGTTGTATCTGTGTGTGTGTGTGTGTGTGTGTGTGCGGGTTCCCTTTTCAACTCAGGAACGCCGGGATGGAGGTGGAGTAGGAGGACAGAAAGAAACAAAAAGTTCGTACCACAGAGAGAACCTCGCTGACAGGAGTCGTGGCGTGATAGCAGCCTATAAGCGTGTGTGTGCGTTCGCTCATGTAAACAAACGACACACGGCCCGCCGACGCGATAGCACTGTATTTACACTCCATTTGTCTCCTGGTAATTGCTCGAGGAGATACAGGAGAGAAGGGCCTCCAGACATGCAGTCTCTGCACAACGCGTGCCAGAACGCTGAAGTTCAAGCCCCTCCGGTGGAGAGCCCTGTACTTAAACTGCCATGGAGGTTTACAAACCATGACACGGAGGAGTGAAGAAGCTCACCACGGAGCTGAATTTCACATGTTGAGAGGAGTGAGAGAGAGCGAGAGAGAGGGAGGGAGGGAGAGAGAGAGACGGGAGCATGGGCTGAAGTTAGAGCCTCATCCACAAGTCCCGCGGGGACACCACCACCACCACCACCTGGGTTGTCAAAAGGAGTCCATCCGGCCTCCAGAAAGGGAGCTCAACGCGTGATGAGCAAACAGTGGGCAGGCACCAGCCAGCATGCATGAGCAATGGATGGGCAGAAAACCCACCTGCCCTTCAGTGCAGGTCTAATGACAACAAATACAACAAAAGCCCTGCGCTGTACGCTGGAGGGCCGCCCGGCTATTTGTACAGCTTCTCATTCACCTGCGAGGAGGACTCAATAGGTCTGTGTTCTATCAAAAGCTTTCATGCGCACAGGCCGGTGGCATTGTGGATTTGCGTTGAGGACATCGACCTTCTCTTTTTTTTTTGTTTGTTTGTTTAAATGAGGATTGGGACATTCTTGCAGCCTCCGGTCCGCTAAAGGACACTGAACAAGAGCCTTTACTTACAGCTGTTTTGAAGAAGGTGGTTACGCTGTCATACTGTAGGTTCATGTACGGCCCACGCCGGCATTCCAGTATGCAGACTACACATGTCCGGCAAATTAAAACAGGACTATGTTAAGGCTTGAGGTATCATACCTGCTGCCTAATGAAATGTTATATGAGATAAATGTATTGTCACACAGTGACACACATCCTGATAGCATCCAAAGCCGTACGGTAATTCTTGGGCATTTCCGAGTGAAACAAACAATGATGAAAATCATATGAACACTTTTGTAGAAATGAATAAATGAAAAAAGACACGGCTGTTGAAACTTGTGCGGTCACATGCTTTTGACCACGTCATGGCCGGAGACGGAGCAGCGCGTCTGACGCTGTGGACGAGAACCGATGAGGACACTCGAGCTGATGCAGCGCGAGAGACACGCGTCTCCTGAATCGAAGATAGCAGGACACAAGGCAGACTGACGACACATGAGGCCTTTGCTACGCAAGTTCTACGGTTCCCCCTCGATCTACAGTCCATGACTGTCCTCTAGTGGTGTCTCTGCAAAAAGACAGAAAATCACAGCTCCTATAGATGTGTACACGACGCTGTTATGTGGGGATTGTTTAGAGATGGAGACACTATTTAGTATTTCCCACATAGGTAGAGTGTGCCGGAACAAACACTCATTAATCCAGCATATTGAGGGTTAAATGGAGAGAAAAACGTAGTATAGGATTAGTGAAAATGAAATAAAGAAAGTGTATAAATATAAATAGAGTGTCCCCTCCATCAGGGCCGAGACGTCCCGCCACACAAACAGTAAAATGCACTTGACACCTTCACACACGTACAGTTTCCAGTTTTCCTGCGCACATTATTTTTTATTTGATATTCTATTGTTAATTGCAAGTTTTTGTCTGATTGTCCGTGTATGCACGACCCCCCCCCACGACAAATTTCTTGTAGGTCCAACATACTTGGATAAATAATTGTAATTTCTGAGGTAAGTTGTGCGCCATTTTGAATTTTCACACAATAGATTGTATATAATTAAGTAGTGATAAACAAGGTGCCAATTAACCATTAGCTCAGGTCGGTGGCCTTGGACCAACGTCACAGGATGATCTCCCCTGTTGTTGTCATGGTGTGATGCTAAATACCAAAATAAATTATTCTAAAGCCAGCACATAACTCAACTTAGCTTCAACATACATAAATATCCAGAGATTTTTGCAGTTTTTTTGAGCAAGATATAGTTTTCCCCTTGCGACTGTTCTATTATAAAAAATAATTAGTGTGGAGGGGAACACATCAAACTACGCTGAATTAGTTTGCGGTTTCTATGAGGAAGGTTAGAGTCAACATGAAAACATTTGGAGCTTTTTCTTTTAAAGCTCGGTATATCAAATCAAATATGAATTCATGTCAATGCACTGTGGACGTTATGAAATATGCTCAATAAAAACAAACAAAGCACCACAAGTAATATTTATTGACAATAACCATTATTTGACGGAGTAGCAGCAGCGTTTATTCAGATCTTGGTCTCTGATGCTGGTAAGCAGGCGACCTGGATTAGGGACACTTACACCAAGCCGCCCTCAAGGGGAACTGATTTATTCAAACATTTGTGTGTATTTCTTTTCTTCGTGACATCACAACGGTGAAAGAAATACAACATGAAAATCCAACTGACAAAGAAAGAAAAAAAAAAAAAAAAGAAAGCCTCTGATGAGTTTGTTTACGGCTCGATGGAGCATTCTGCTGCACGTGACCAACATTTACTACAACAGAAATATCCCTCATCAAATCACACGGACCTGCAGTAAACAAGTGTCACGCATCATCATAAATACAGATGTTCACTGACCATCTCACAGCTGTCCCAGCAATTCTTGATTTGTTTCAATGTGCGGGGGAAGAGGAGGCTTCTCCCCACAAACGGTCTCTACTTCTACCCGTCCAGTAACTTGAGGATGCTTTCCCTCTCCTTCAGCGCTTTCCACGCTTGGTCCTTCTCCTTCTTGGTCGGAGTGCGTTTCTTCTGCCTGGCGGCCATGATTCGGCGGAATCCCTCCATGACCTCGTTGTCGGACACCCTGACCCTCTGCCTCAGCTCCTGCTTGCGCATCTCTTCTTTTGCCAACCTGCGGGAAAAAACAAAACAAAAAAAACACACCGACCTCAAGGTCAACTCGCCCACCAGGGAGCGGACTTCACCTGCGGTACATCTAACCACGTGTCCTCACCGGAGCAGCTCCTGCTTGCGGGCTCGGTTGTGGCCACTCAGGGCTTTGAGCTCCGCTTGCCTCTTCTGCAGCTCCGCCAGGATCTCGTCCTCAGAGTCTCCTCCCGGTCCGGGTCGCTCCTCCGAGTCCAGCAGCCCCTGAGCCACCAGCTCCTCTTTGATGCGAGCCTCCAGAGAACGTGTGTGAGGAACGCTTGCAGAGGAGGAAAAGAGAGGCCGAGGATGTGAGACGCGCGGCGTGGAGTAAATAAATAACCTTTATTGTGAAAACGTATTTCAGAGCAGTGTGGAGGACGCACAAAACTAGACTCACAACTAACACGCAGGACCTCCGTCAGACTAACGGCGTGACCCGTGTACGTGTGTGGGAACATAAGCAGACGCTCAGTTTTGTTTGGTTAATGTGTTCACAGTTGATGTAAGTGCAGCTACAGGCCGTGATGTGAAGGACTGAAGTCTCATTTCATAAATCTGTTAACAAACGGCAGAATTAAGGATGTTCCATCAATACATTTGTGTTCCAGCCATATTTCCCTTTCTTTGATTTTTCTTTTATACATTTTTGGATCACACAAGTTGTAAAGAATATCTACTAAGCCACCACTGTAACAAACAGTACAAGACGTATAATATTAGTGTAGCGAAATCTTCTTACTGGATATCATCACTTTCCCTAGTTTGGCGGAAATATTCCACTTATGGCTGCTTGTCTCTCATTTTGTGATGTAGAATCAGATTTCTCATTCCGGTCTGTCATTGTCTTTCTGCATGAACTTTACTATCCAACCACTTCTTATCAGTATCTTGAGTGACTCACAGATTCACTACAAACGTGTGACGGAAGAACCGAATTGGCCAGTGAGCACATGATACGAATGCTGTAATTTTGCATATAAACTTCCGAACATTTCAAAAACGCATGTTAGTGAACGAGGGTCACCGACCTGGGATCGACCCACGTGATCGAATGTTGATGCTGCGATTACCTGAAAGCTTTTCCTTGGCTTCTGGGAGAAGTCCCAGCGCCGTCATTAGCATCCTTCCCTGAAATGTCCGGTATGGGTGAATCCTCCATGGGGGATATAATGTTCTCCTGGAAGAAAACACAAAGATAACGTGGTCTTGATTAAATGTTTAAAAAAAAAAATAAAAAAAACATAAAATGGAATTTCTTTTTTTTTCATAATTAGTAGTTTTTTTAATTAGTGCTACGCGTGATCCCAGCATACCGACCTCTACAAGTGCTTGGAGCAGACGCTGAGTGAGAGGACCGAAGGGACATCCGTCTTCGGGAGATTCGTGTTGGGACTCGGACTTTTTCATCAGGGAATCCACGTCTACAGCAGTCGAACATGAAGACCAAGTGTCACGGCGGGTACATGCTCGGGCCCGTTCAAGGAGCAGGAGTCGGTCGTCGCTCACCTTTTGCGTCCAGCTCGGACAGCGGCCCTCCCATCAGGCTCTTCTTCTTGTCGTTAGCTCGAGCTCCTTCCCTCTGCTCCTCCAGCAGATCTTCCTGAGCCCACCGCTGGGAGTAGTGTTTCCCCAGAGCCGGGATCTACAGGTAACACGGGTCAGTACCATGAGAACACTCCGCAGTGGATTTACCAGTAGCATGACAACACAACGCTTTTTACGTCGTACTTTGAAATACTCAGCCTCGTCCTCCGGGGGTTTCAGAAGTTCTTCTAGCAATCGGATCTCCTCGTTCGTGATATCGGCACAGTATGGCTCAACCGATGCCCAAAATCTGAAGGAAACAAAAGGAAGATTAAATAGTGCAAGCCTCTTTCGGTGAGCTTTGTTCTTTAACTTCACTAAAAATATAAGTCTGATATGATTTGAGCATCAAACAGGAGGAATTGAGCGACGCCGAGGGTGGCGGTTGTCGCTGACCTGTTGGGGGCGTCGTTTTTAGGAGTGCGGGGGATGTCCTGCGGATCGTCCGTGAACTCGTACTCTTGGACCTTGGGCTGCAGGTTTTTGGATTTGGGCCGGCCGGGACCGGGACCCGGCGTGTGGCCGCCCTTGCCGTCCAGCTTCTGCTTCTTCGGTTTGTGGCGAGACGAGGCAGCCGGGTCCGGGTCTTTCCCCAGCTTCAGAAAGCGCTTGTCCCCCTTCTTGTCCTGCCAGTCCGTGAGGATCTGAGAAGCAGCAGAAGGAGAAGGAGGAGAAACAAAGAGACAAAAGCACACAGGCACGTGGTTACAAGTAGCGAAACAACACAACCTGACATGCATGTTTTTTGTCCAGTGCTCATCTCACACACATCACGTGGGGGTCCCGACCTCCTCCTACCTGTCTCTGCTCCTCCAGGGCTCGCAGGCGGCGGCTGGCGGAGGACAGCAGCGTCTCCAGCTCCAGCTGCAGGGTGTCCAGCTCCTCGATGCCGATGCCATCGTCCTCGGATCGGCCGAGCACGGCCGTGTAGCGGGGACACACTTTGACGTGCTCGACGGGCTTGAAGTCGTAGTATTTCAGCGGGGGGCATTCCTTCAACTCGCTCATGGCGCCGCTGTGCGGCAGGGACCCTTGAGCAAGCGTTTCGAGTAGATCGGATCACGTGTGCGTTATAATGATACAAACACAGAGGTGACCAGATGTGGCTCAGTTGGTCAGCATCTCTCCGCCTGATACACGCACACACACACACTCGAGCGCGCACGCACCCAAATACACGAACGCGCAGGTCTGCTGTATTGAACGCGAGCTCGCTGGGCCCGAACTCACCGAATCACTCAGATGTAAATACCAGTAGCTATGATTTCACGGGTTTGCACACGACACTGTGCGTTCAGTTGGACGAATTCCAAGCGTTTAATAGGAGACGCGAAGAGCCAAGATATTTATCAAAGTATGTTTAAGAGGATAGATATTTACGGTCAGCGAATGGCGTCCATGATGGAAAGAGCCATTGTGGTGAGAGAGAGGGGTGAGACATTTTACGAACTGATACATAGACCCTTTTCGATAAAGGGAATATGATTTTATCAGAGAATACTATACATATGACAGACTATGGTCGTCTCATTATGTACACATATCTATACAATATTAAGTAATGTGTCCACGAGTATTGAGATAAGGATATAATGGTATAATCAGATCAAACCATGTTGTTTCATGGTTCAAACGGGGACATTTCCGCTAAATCGGTCGTACGGTAATGTAATTAAAACATATGTTGAGTTTAATTTGATTATTTTATATAAGTTTAGTTTAAACAAAACATGTTAAAACAGTAAACAATTACATCTGGACAAGCTGTCGAAGAGCCCCGCGCCCCTGTTCAGAGAACGGAATGGATGCATCCTTGGGTATGTTCGTTTCACTCTCCAGCTGAGCGGGGTAATAATCGCAAACGGCTGATGGTGTGAAACGTCGAAGAATCCGTCTCTTCAAACTAAGAGCTAGTGAAAACGAGCGCACCCTACGTGTACTGCTAGATGTAGGATTTACGGAAGAGGAGTCCCAGGCGTGGCTGAGGAACTTCCGTCTTTTACAACACAAAAATGGTAAGTGTGTTGCTCTAAATGTACCGGTATATTCCATTAATTATCCATTTATTCGCGCTAACTGTGGCTACATTTAAGGTGAGATTAGCTAGCTAACTCCGCACTGGTCGTAGCCATGGTTTCTGGTTGGCTATGGTGAAATGACAGGACGGGCATCCTCGAAACGGTTTGCAGACACTGAAGTGATCGCGCTGAGCTGTCTTTTCCCCCGCTCCCCTTTTCTCGTTTTTTGCTGAAGTCAGCTCTTAGAAAGCTCGTCACTAGACGGAGAGGGAAATGTGTATTTTCTTCATAGCAGGCAGATCGATGGGGAAGGACATAGATAATAATGGATGGCATGCAATGTCAGCCACCGATCTGCTTACATTAACGGAAGTGACTTCATTCACGCTTCAAGGAGCCTCGCATCTGTAGACAAACCCCCATCAGCTGGATGTGGATCGCCAGCATGCTTTTCTTTCCAAAGCGACTAAAAGTCGACTCCAAAATTGAGAGGTGGAACCCTTAAAAGTGGCACTTCACCGCATTTCTTGCTTCCTGGTCAAACGTGACGTCACAGGCTGACCCCCCTGCTGGCCAACTCGCCCTCTCTGGAGCGGAATGTACATCTGGCCCATCCAAGCTACCACGTACTGATCTAATGGCTGTGTCTCCTCAGACAGCGACTCTGCGCCCCTACTTGAACGCGGTGAGGGCCACCCTGCAGGCGGCCCTCTGTCTGGAGAACTTCTCCTCTCAGGTGGTGGAGCGTCACAACAAGCCCGAGGTGGAGGTCAGGTATGTTCAATGGCATGTGTTCGGAGCCTCCTCCCACTCCCCCCAGTGCCTCCTGCCCCCTAAGCTTTTTTGTAGATAATCCACAGCTTTCGCACAAGTGCAGACTTGTGCAAAGTTGCACAAGAAAATGTCTTGCCGGTGAAGAGCATGACAGCAGGCGAGAGCATTGAAATGGGTCCGCAGGGACTTGCCGTAGCCTATTTTGAGGCGTCATGCAATGACACATTTTGGAGTTATTTTGAGTCGCTTCGTAGAGGTTCTGTGAAATGCGGTCATTTGAATCTTTGTGTCTTTAATGGCTGGATTGTTCTGCGGTTACAGGAGCAGTAAGGAGCTGCTGCTTCAACCTGTGGTCATCAGCCGTAATGACAAGGAGAAGGTTCTCATCGAGGGATCCATCAACTCCGTCAGAGTCAGCATTGCTGTCAAGCAGGTGATATAAAAAAGAAAGGGCAGGATTTATTGGTGATCAGCTATGCGCAGCGCACACTTGATGATTTTCTTTCCTAATGTAAAACGCATTAAAAAAATGACATCATTGCAGGCTGATGAGATCGAGAAGATCCTTTGCCACAAGTTCATGCGCTTCATGATGATGAGAGCGGAGAACTTCTTCATTCTGAGGAGGAAAGCAGTGGAGGTAAGAGAAGTGGGAGGATGATAAATGGGTAGTCTGTTTCTGTATAATATAATTAGCGACTGTGAGTGACAAAAGAGGAATCAATTACAAGAATAAAAAAAAAAAACAGGAACAACGTTTATCTAAAATGGAGAAAAAGTCAAACGGCTCCTCCATACAAATGTCAGAAACCACATAGTGAAATAAAATCCTTGAATTTTCTCACGATAAAATGTGTTGACCCGTCCCGCTAACACCGCTGTGGTTTTCAGGGGTACGATATTAGCTTCTTGATTACCAACTTCCACACGGAGCAGATGTACAAACACAAGCTGGTGGACTACGTCATCCACTTCATGGAGGAGATCGACAAGGAGATCAGCGAGATGAAGCTGTCCGTTAACGCCAGGGCCCGTATCGTCGCTGAGGAATTCCTCAAGAACGTGAGGAACACGCTCTCTGCTGTTGAGGGCTTTTCATTTATATATTTTGAGAAATGTACATTTTTCTGCATTTAGCAAACCAATATTTGTAAGTGTGGATCAATATTGTGTTTTGTAAAAGACAGAAATATTTACACGCAAAAATAATACATTTGTCCTCTTCACAGTTCTGATGGCAGCTTTGGTCACTAAAGCTGGAAAATAGAGGCGTAAACCGCCAACCAGCGAGGAGATGAGAGGAACAGCAGCAATCCGGCGACGACACCCTCGGAGTATTTCCCTGTACTCATGACTATCAACGACTGTATATAATGAAATATTCACCAGTTTCATTTTCAGCCACGTAGAACAAATCCCCATTCAAAGGCGGGTCCTTATAGTATTAATCAAGTTGGTACCCATGAATACAGGGGCATTGAGAGCGTGCTGTTGCAAATTAATTGGCCAGGTTTTTTGTATTTCGTGTGAGTATGCGTGATCTGTCGCCGGTGTTCTAAATTAGTTTCCATTAAGTCTCTGTTTGCGGAAAGTAGTCTGTGTCAAGAGCTTTCTATCAAGAAGCCGCCAAAACATGTGTATGAAAATAATAATGAAAGATAATAAAACTCAGTTGTTTATATGTTTTGTGTTCTGATTTAAAGTACCTCCAGTTATTTGCGCCGCGGCCTTTAAGCAGATTTGTTCTTTCTGAGGAAGTTGTTTTCGGTCAGCGCTCGGCCACAACGATACGCTCGCTGTGTTATTTCAGCTGTGGGAAAAGGGAAGTAATTGTTCACGTTGTGAACCCTTTTGGTGGTACGGCATTTGTTCACATTATTGGGATCCAAATAATTATACTGTAGTCCACAGAGAAGGAAAGTGCAAGTTATACACTTCAGAAATCCACAACAATTGCAACAATTTAGATTTAGATCAACATGTTAGGAATGAGTATCAGTTGTGAATATCTGCTGGTTTAAGTTAAGACTAAATATCTTTGGAACATATTCTGTATTGTAAACTCTGGCTCTGAGGAAATGGGATGCCCATTTCTATATTTAGGAGACTCAAAAATGAACTGTACCGTATAGTAATAACTACTTGAAGAGATGATGGGCTGGTTTATAGAAATAACACCTTTAACTGGGACGTACATTTTGAAATCAAACCCACATCCGCAGCTTTGAGCTTATTGCATTAAGCTTTTGCTTGTGTTCAAATGTGTACATCAAAACAAGTTCATTTATGGAATCTTAAGATGAACAATTTAATTTGACCGTTACGTGTACGTTTTCTTCTATAACGCTGAAGACACTGACGTTATTGCACATTACAGCAAGTCAAACACGCAGTGGAAAGATCCCTTTTTTAAGATGAACAGGTTCTCCTTCATGGTTAATTATACTGCTGCACAATATCAACACGCTGTAAATGATTATACAGTAACAAGGAACCCATGAAGCTACTGTGAGCCAAGTCCTTGAGGGATAAATAATCTGCTCGGATCCAGATCATAAAATGACAAAACAGAGTATTGCGAGAGGAGGTGGAGGAGGCAGCATGTCACTCAGAAGGTCACCACGGTTGGCGGGTTGAGCACACGGGAAAAGGGAAACGACCACGAGAGGCAGCTGCAGTCAGAGGTGGGGGGGGACGGTCCGCAGGGCGTCTCGAGCCGAACGATGGATGTTCACGTTCTGGAAAGAGGAAGGATTCGGTGTCAGGTGCCTTTTGAATCAATGCTGCACGATTGCGTTTAATTAGCACGCATCAAACCAGAGGGACACGCGGCGTGTTGCACATCACTGGGGTTTCTGCCCTCACGTGCTGCGGCGGGGATTTTAAGACAGTCGTGTTAGACACAGGGCGTCTTCATTTTTGGAGGGCAGGTCGGGCGTGCACGGATCATTTGACCTTGTTGACGCGTGTGAGTGCAGATTACCACTTATTTCATAGCCCTTCCTGTTTGATTGGATCGCATTGCACAGCACAGACACTCTTGGAAAACCGTTAGTTCTGCAGAATGTCGTAGCCTTTTTATTATTAGCTGTGAGCATCAGCACACGTTTTGTAATCTTTCTAAGTGGAGGGAGGAAGAAATCTGTGTGTGTGTGTGTGTCACAGGGAGAGTTTTGTTCAGGGGGGTGAATGTTCCCAGTGGAGTCTTTGCATATCAATGAACGGGAAAATCCCAGTGTGCAGTTTCAGAGTAGGAGTTTCAGTCAGAGGGAGCAGGATGACCATCGTAGGAACAGGAAGGGAGTCGTCTGCGTCTTTTGATCAAGTGTTAAGATTCAGAAACATCCAGCGACACACATTTTATCTTAAAATATACCAACAACAAACTTGATGCAAGGTAAAGAATTTAATCCATCGTCCCAACTCTCAGATATTGGAGAGGAAAACCTTTTCATGTCAGAATGTCTAAAATGATGCACAAGAAGGGTTGGATAATAATACATAAAATGGTTGAGATGAGTTTATTTGGAAACAAACAGAATATTTCCTCTCAGATATTATTCTGTAAGGATCTTCACATTGTCAAACAAAAGGAACAATAAAACAAAAGTGTAATTGTACTTTGAGGATCTTCATTAGATACTGTTTGACATCCTAACTAGATATAAACTGCAATTTATTGACATTTAATAAGAAAATAAAACAGAATTGATTATTTTAT